AGGCACAGAGATCCTCATAACGACAATGGCCCTTCGTGGCAAAGTGTCGGCAGACAGGACGGCCGGATTTGTCTGTTAAACAAATGAAAACCAAGCAGTTTGAAATCGGAATAAGGAAGAAACAAATGTGACAGCTGAGGGAACAGGAGGGCTGTTAGAGTTCCTATTTCCTACCATTTCCAGATTATTTCCTCCCAGGGCTAGTCCTACTTCACAGACAAAAGACCGTAGAGAAGAGCCGAGGACGTTCTAGGAGTTTAATTACTCTGGTAACATTGGGGAGGAAATATGAACAGGCAGAAACATTAAATCTCACCTTCCATAACTTGGGGTCCATCCTTAGGTGGGCAGGTATTCTTGATAAGAGACCAACTTTTGAGCCTTCGAGGGTTTCTCTGCTCTTTGTGAAAGCCACCCCGGGAGGGACCCCCATGGCCTGGTCCAGGAAAAGGAGGTTCAGCATTGACTCCCCACCAACCACGACCATATGGGGTAGACCTGGGACCGAGAGCCCCTCGAATTGGGCCCCTGCCCCGGGGGGGAGGTGGGAGACTCAGCAGTGGTGGAATTATTGGTCCTCTCGATTCTGGAGGACCTCTGTGAAGAGCTGCAGAGAGACACACACATGCAAAAAAGTGACCAGTGGCCAGCTTAATTCTGATCAAAGCTCTGATTGAAACATTTTAAAAAAAAATCAAAGTACGATATGCATACCCAAAAAGTGCAGCAATATTAAGTTCACAAACCAGTTGTCACAAAGTAAACACACCTACATTTCCACCACCCAGGTAAAGGGATATATTAACACTTCAGAAGTCCTCGATTCGCATCCCACCTCCCACCTCTGCCACCCGCCTCCCCAAAGGTAGCTACTATCCTGACTTCTAACACCAAAGGGTTGATTTTGCCTGTTTTTGAACTTCGCAAAAATGGAATCATACAGTCTGCTTTCTTTTGTGTCTGGCTCCTTTGGCTCAACATCATGTTTCATCCAGGTTGCCTGTAGCAGGAAGGAGTTCATTCATTTTTAGTGTACTGCAGTATCCCATTGTATGCACTTAGAATTACTTACACATCCATTCTCCTACTGGGGGATATGAGCGTAGTTTCCTGTTTGGGGTTATAATGAAAAATGCTGCTATGAACATATTTTTGGTTTAATTTTGGGCCACACCTGGCAGTGCTCAGTGCTTACTCCTGGCTCTGCATCCATGCTCTGCATTACTTTTGGCAGGGTTCAGGGAACCATATGGAGTGCCAGGGATCAAACTTGGCTTGGCCACAAGCAAGGCAAGTGTCTGACCCACTGTACTATCTCTCAGGTCCCTGCTATGAACATTATTTTACATTTTTGATACTTATATGTATGCAATTTTATTGAGTATATACATATATATATATACAAGTATTGCTGGCTCCTACACCATCTGTTTGTTCAAGTTTCATAGATACAAAATTTTTTTTCTAATAATAAAAAGACTTTTTCTAAGAGGTTGTACCAATTTACACTCCCACTAGCAAATGTTCCATATCCTAACAACACTTGCATTTTTTTTTTTTGTTTTGAGTTTTGGGCCACACCTGGTGGTGCTCAGGGGATAAAATACATTGTTGGGATAGAACCCTAGTCCTAGAGGGCTTAGGGGAAAATATGAGGTGCCAGGAATCAAACTGGGTCCAGTGCATGCAAAGCAAGTGCTCCACTCACTGTCCTCTTTTTTGGTTTTTGGGCCACAGCAGACAGTCCTCAGAAATAACTCCTGGCTGTGCACTCTGGTATCACTTCTGGCATGCTCAGGTTGTCAGGGATCAATCCTAGGTCAGATGTGTGCAAGGCAAGCACTGTACCTGCTGTGCTATATAGCTCTGGCCCCTGTACTATCTCTGAGATGTGACTTTTATTTAATATGTTCTTAAGGTTCATCCATGTCATAGCTTGTCATAGTGCTACAGGATGTTCCTTTTGGGGGGTGGGGGGCTGTATGGTATTCTATCACAAGAATAAGGACCCTGAGCATGCCAGGAGTAGTCCCTGAGTGCCACCTGATATGACCCAAAAAACAAAACCAAGAGTGAGACTGCTGGTACTAAAAAAAAAAAAAAAATCAGAACGGGATTTTTTGGTCATCCAGTGGTGTTCAGAAGCTGGTCCTGGCTGTGTTCAGGAATGACTGTTGCTCATGCCAAGGACTTAAACCAGTGTTGGAAGGGTGCAAGGCGTTATCTCTCTGGTCAGAATTTTTAATTTGAGGAGTATCCATACTGTTTTCCACCATGGTTGTACTGTACTACATCTCACTAACAATGCACAAGGAATTCAATTTCAAAGTGGCATGTTTTTAAATCTAGCTTTTATTTGATTACTAATGATACCCTGCCCAACAGTACTGTAGGCTCACTCCTGCTTCTACCTATGCTTAGGGGTCACTCCTGGTGATGCACAGGGGACTATATTTAACACTGGGGCTGAACTGAGATTAGTTGCGTGTAAGACAATCAGATTAACCCTGATGTTGAGTTCTTGTACACATTCTTGACCATTGAGATCTTAGGTGTTTTGCTTAAGGTTTTATTTAGAAAAATGTAAGGGATACCATTTGTGATGACAGGGATCAAACCAGGGTCAGCTGTGTGTATAGGTAAGTGATGTTACCTTTGTATTATCTCCTTGGCCCTATTTTTATTTTGGCCACACCTTGCAGTATTCGGGGCTTACTCCTCCTCTACACTCTAATCACTCCTGTGACGGTATGTGAGCGATCAAACCCAGGTGCAGGGCAAGCACCTCACCGGTTGTGCTCAAGCCCCTCTCAGCCCACTTTACAGTTGAATCTACAATTCAAAATTGATGTATGTATATAATACAAACAGGTAACATTTCATTTTTTACATGAATATTCAAGGCATATTTTAATGAAAAGGCCAGTATGTCAATCTCATCTTAAAATGTCCATATAAATGTAGACCTGCTACTGAATGCTTTATGCTTATTTTATTGACTTATATGCCTAGCACTGTACCAATACCATAGTCATATTTACTACAGCCCTACAGTAAATCTTGACATTCAAACTATGTCTCCCCACTTAAGAAACTTTGCAATCTCTTGCCTTTTCAGGGTAAGAATGTCTATTTCCACAAAATTATTAGAGAATATTGGAAGAATGGACATTTTTACAATGTTAAGTTTTCCCATGTTACACATCATTCCATTCATTTAGGTACAATCTTACTGGGTTTTACTCCCTCCCCCTTGTCCCTTCTAGGGGCCCTTCTTCCTCACCTGACTTGGGATCACCAGGCTTTCCATTGGCCATGGGGGGTGGGCCCAGAAGACTGGGTGGTCCTAAGAGTAGACACGAAAATATGGTCATCAGAACAGATTAAATGACTGATGATCCTATTATGTGTTTCTCCTATTACTCATTTCTTTTTTTTTTTGGGGGGGGGAGGTGCTGTTTTAGGGCCACATCTGAACCAGAATGCTCTTGGCAATGCAAGGCAAGCGACCCACCCGTTACTATCTTTCTGGCCCTCCTCCTATTACTCATTTCTTAATACAACCAGTAGAGTCACCAGTTCTCAGCCCTTCTATCAGCCCTTTCCTCTACAAAGCATTTTCATTCAGTGCTCAGTGCTCGCAAACAGCCGAGGTTCCGTGGAAGCAGGTAATGTCAGAAGGATGAGACTTTTCTTTTTTTTACGACGATGCTCGCCAAACCATCCCAGGTGACTTCTCTTTAACTGACAGTCAGAGGGCTCTCCTGCCACCACTCGGACCCGAGTAGGTTAGAGAAGGCGGCACCTTCCCTGTGAAAACCCGGTCACAAATTGTCATGGTAGTAATCGCAATCTGCATCCTCCCTAGGATCCCGCTCCCCTGCCGTTCTGCGGCTGCGCACAAGAGTTCTTTATCATCTCCCTCTAGGAAGGTTTACGGATCGGATTTAAGCTGAGGACTCACGAGGACTCCATTCACGGCTCCACGCCAGGCAGCCCTTCACCTGCCTGAGCGCTGGCGGCCTTCCTCCTTCCCCAAGAGCCCCCTCCCCCGCACCCTTCCAGTCCCTAATTGCCTCTCCTGCACCCGCTGACAGACATGTGCACACTCCTCGCGGGTTCCTCACCGATGAGACTCCCATCTTCCTCGTCTCCAGGCTCCTCCCGCTCTGGCATCGGGGGCTGCTGATGCGGGAGCTGTTGCTGATTCTGCTTCTTTCGCTTCGGCATCGTGGTTGCGGCAATGGCTGCAGTGGGATTTGGAGGGCAGTGAGGAAGGGGCAGACTGGGATTCTGTTTCCGTTTCCGGGGGGCGACCGACGGGGAGACCGACTCCCGCCATCTCACTTCCGGGAGGCGGTGGGGAGCCTCTGCGCGTTCGCGTCCTCACCTGGATCGCCTCCCTCGGTTTTTGCCAAATCTGGCGGCAATCGCAGGCCTTCCCTCTACCATTCTCCTCTCAATGCTTAGAAAAATAAGCCCCCAACCTGTCATCTCCCCTAGCGAGAAAAACCTCTACACCGTCCTCCTCGCCGTGCGCGTACAGGCGCTCGGATCCAGGCCGGAGCGGAGGGCTGTCGCCTCCTTAGGACGCCACATCCGGTTCCCGGTTCCCATGGCAACAGCTGCAGGCACCGCTTCGGCCCGCCCTCCGGGAATCTTCCTCCCGCCTCCGTCTTCCTCCGCGCGCGCGCTGGCACTTCGGCTCTGTCAAGCCGCTCCGTGTCAACGTTGCCACCGAGGATCTGGGTCCCAGCACAGCGGTGCCCAGAACTCTCCGGCCAGCCGCCCCTGCAGCCCACCGACTCGGCCCCCCGGGGCGCCCAGCCACTTCGCTTCTTTCCGGGGACGCTTAGTCTCGGCTCTTCACTTAGGTCCCCTCCCCGGGTTGGTAAAGCAGCGTCTGCGTGTCCGCGCCCCTCTTTTCCCCCCTCCGGGGGGGGTCAGCCCGACCCCCCGCGCCCCCGCCAGGGGTGGTTGCTCCTCTCGGGAGCGCGAGGCCGTCCGTGATGACACCCGTCCCCCCTGTTCCGAGGGCGACTTAGTCGCGCCCGTGACGAAGTCAGCCCGAGCCTCCCACGCACGCCCCTGGCCACGGCGCCGCTGCGCCCTCTCCATGCCGCTGGCTCTCACGTGCGGCGAGCTCGCCCGCTGCAGCCCCTCGCCCGGCTCCCCGGGACGCGGCCGCGTCGGGCCCGGCTTGCCCAGCCCCGGGCTGCGGCGGCTCCGCGGTCGGGCCCGCCCGCTGACGTCACCGCCTCGCCCCGCCCCCTCCAGGGTCCCGGGCCCTGGCGGCGGGGCTGCCCCGGGGGGAGTCAGTTGAGGCGGCTGGAGCTCGGCGGACGGCCGGCCAGGTCCCTGGGCCGGGCCATGCCGAGGAAGAAGCCCTTCAGCGTGAAGCAGAAGAAGAAGCAGTTGCAGGACAAGCGCGAGCGGAAGCGAGGTGGGTGCGGGAGCCGGGGAGGGGGCGGGGCTCGGGCCCGACACTTCTGGAAGGAGGGGTGTGCCCGCCGCACCTCGGGGTCCCGGGGACGGGCCGGGGGGCCGCGTGAGGACGCGCGCAGGCGACCGCGGCGGGGATTCCTCCCCCCCCCCACTCCCGCCGCTCCCCTCCGCATCTGGAAGGGGTGGGGAGGGAAGGGGAGCTGGGGGAGGGGAATTCCTCCCACCCCAACGGGGCGCCGTCCTCGCGGATTCCTGGGGCAGTGATTCCTCCGGGGACGGGCTGGGAGGCCCGGGCCTCGGAAGAAGCGAGGGTGGCGTGAGCGGCCGGGCGCGGAGGGGGTCGGCGGGTGGCTTCACCGGCTCCCGCCTGCCCGCAGGGCTTCAGGATGGGCTGCGATCCAGTTCCAACAGCCGCAGCGGGAGCCGGGAGCGGCGGGAGGAGCAGACCGACACCTCGGACGGGGAGTCTGTGACCCATCACATCCGCAGGCTCAACCAGCAGCCGGCCCCAGGGCTGGGCCCGCGAGGCTATGACCCAAATCGGTGAGAGAGGAGGGCTGGGGGCGCCGGCCCGGAAGTTAGCGCGGGGGGTGGGAAAGCCCGCGGCTGCTGGAGGCCCGAGACTGAAAGTGGGGGGCCGAGCTCTCCGGAGCGGACTGCTCTGGTCCCTTCCTGAGCGGCTGGAGGCGGTTAGACGGAAACTTGGGGGGAAGGGCGCATATGGAGGGGCAGAGGGACTCCTCCAAAAACTTTGCGAAGTTGCCTGCGGGGGGCGGGGGGGGGGGTAGTGGGTGGGAGTTTGTGACCACAGGATTGGGTCGATGCTGTGGTCCCTGCCCTATTAGCTACCGGCTGCATTTTGAGCGAGACAGTCGGGAGGATGTGGAGAGAAGAAAGAGAGCTGCCCGGGAACAAGTGCTCCAGCCTGTTAGCTCGGAGCTGCTGGAGCTGGACATTCGCGATGTCTACCAGCCCGGCTCAGGTGAGCTGAGAGTTGGGGGCCAGCTGGGAGGAGTTGGGAAGAGTAACAGGCGAATTGCGAGGAGGGTGGGGTCTGAAAGACCCCCTTGAGTTCTGACCCTGTCTTGGTCTTTCCTTGGCCTTTTCTTGGTTTTCCAGTATTGGACTTTCCTCGCCGTCCTCCTTGGAACTATGAGATGTCCAAGGAGCAGCTAATGAACCAGGAGGAACGGAGCTTCCACGAGTATCTGGGGAAGATTCATGGGGCTTACTCCTCTGACAAACTCAGCTACTTCGAGCACAATCTAGAGGTAAGGATGAAGTGGTGGAACAGAGCGAGGCAGAGTGACCCACAGACAAATTGGAAAGGGGTCAGGCTTAAGGACTCTAGGTTTAAGATTCTTTCCCGCTGGTCTTGTGTTTTCAGACATGGAGGCAGCTGTGGCGGGTGTTAGAGATGTCTGACATTGTCCTGCTTATCACTGACATTCGGCATCCAGTGAGTATTGGGGATGAAAGCGGACGAGGTAGGACAAGGGGGCAGCATGATTCTTGTGGGTTAAAAGGCAGAAGCAAGAGCTGGGAGGCAGGGCGGTCCAGTCTCCCTTCTCCATATGCTGATGTTTCAGGGGCTCAGGTCTGTCTTCATTTGTGTCACATTCTAGTCTGTCACATTCCCCTGGCCAGCTGTCTCCATTCCCCTTCATGAAAAATTGTGTATCCTGTTACCTCGCTCTCTACGCTAGACCATAGAAAGGTTTACTGTGGAGTTAGTAGGTTCTGTGAAGGCAGGTGAGGACTTTTTCCTGCCATGCTCTGTCAGCTGCTATAGTGTTCTGCTCTCCCTAGATTGTTAGGGTGGTGGTTAGGGTTCAAGACCTTTGCTGGACAGTCTCTCTGTGAACCTGCTCTGCCACTTCATTATTGTCCTCCAGCTGGAGAGAGATCTCAGGGGTCATTTAGGTCAGAGGTCCTTAAAAAACATGCACATACTTGTTCTGCAAAAGCCACAGATAATGTGTGTATACTTACAAAATTCACCCATTTATTGCTCTAGTAGTTTCAGGCCTGTGCTGCGGCTAGCCTTTCCCCAGAGTGCCAGGTGTTGCCTCTTTCTTTCTTACTTTCTTTCTTTCTTTTTTGGATCACACCCGGTGTTGCACAGGGATTCCTCCTGGCTCATGCATTCAGGAATTACTCCTCAGTGCTCTGGGACCATATGGGTTGCTGGGAATCAAACCTGGGTTGGCTGCGTGCAAGACAAACACCCTACCCGCTGTGCTATTGCTCCAGCCCACGTGTTGCCATTTACGTGGTTTCTTTTTGACTCAATTCCATTCTGGTTTTGTTTTGGGGTCACACCTGATTGTGCTTAGCCCTTGTACCTGACTGTATGCTCAGGGATCATTTGTGGTAGTGCTCAGGGGACCTTATGGAGTGTTGGGGATCGAAACTGGGTTGGCCACATGCAAGGCAAGCACCCTACCTGCTGTACTGTCACCCCAGCCCTTCATTTTCATTTCTAATCAGGACTTGTACTTAGCCTTCCGTTTTCTTTCTAGTCCATTTAGACCGATTTACTCTTGCCGCAGAATCTGCTCCCACCAGAGTGTTGTCTTTGAGGCACACCTGATGACTCGGGGCTGGAGGCCGAGAACTCTAGGCTGACTCTCTTGCTCTCTCTCCTTGCCATCCCCATTCCAGGTTGTGAATTTCCCACCAGCACTTTATGACTATGTGACTGGAGAACTTGGACTGGCCCTGGTGCTGGTCCTGAACAAGGTGGACCTGGCTCCCCCAGCGCTCGTGGTTGCCTGGAAACATTATTTCCACCAGCACTATCCTCAGCTCCACATTGTCCTTTTCACCTCTTTCCCACGGGACCCTTGCTCTACACAGGACCCTGGCAGTGGTGAGTGGCGAGATAGAGGGCAGGCAGGGGAGGTGGAGTGGCAAGGGACGAAGGGGAAAAAGAGACACTTGTTGACAGCGTTCCTCGTCTTGGAAGTAAGTGTGGTGCTGCATAAGTCCGAACGGGATGCGCTAAGCCTTTTTTGCCTTCTGATTTGTTTTAGTCTTGAAGAAGAGTCGCCGGCGGGGAAGAGGATGGACTCGGGCCCTGGGGCCAGAGCAGTTGCTGAGAGCCTGTGAAGTCATCACTGCAGGGAAGGGTGTGTGCTCCTTAACAGAGTTGGGGGAGACCCTAGGGGAGCCCCATACCTGAGTCATTTTGTACCCCTTTGCCAAAGTCAGCTCTGTTGCTGTGACACAGGCGAGAAGCGTGGTGGGCCTGGAGGAGGGAGAAGAGAAAGGAAACAGACTTGGGGGCAAGAACAGCACCAGATAGGCAGGGGCTAGTGGTCTGCCACCTTCAGTCTTCCCAGTTCCCTGCAGAAATTAGAGAAATGGGGGATTCCAGGGTTGAGGCAGAGGATGGGGCGGAGGGTTGCTGAGCTGGCTGGCACTGTCCAGCTCCAGAGGCTGGCAGCGCATAGACCGGGTCTGTAGCTCCGGGACAACCTTCACCTTTGTCTTTCCTGAGCAGTGGACTTGAGCAGCTGGCGGGAGAAGATTGCCAGGGATGTCGCAGGAGCCACCTGGGGTAATGGCTCTGGGGAAGAGGAGGAGGAAGAGGATGGGCCCGCGGTGCTGGTGGAGCAGCAGACGGACTCAGCCATGGAGCCCACTGGTCCTACACGGGAACGCTACAAGGATGGAGTGGTGACCATCGGCTGTGTGGGTAAGGATGCAGTCGCTCACGTGCACAGTCTCCAAGGAGGTGTAGAGTTTCAGTATTTGGAAAGAGGGAAAATGATGATTCGAAAATGTTCAGCTTCAGGGGCTGGAGAGATATAGCACAGCGGGTAGGATGTTTGCCTTGCACGTGGCCGACCCAGGTTCGATTCCCAGCATCCTATATGGTCCCCTGAGCACCGCTAGGGGTAACTCCTGAGTGCAGAGCCAGGAGTAAGCCCTGTGTATCACCAGGTGTGACCCAAAAAGCAAAAAAAAAAAAAAAAAAAAAAATGTTCAGCTTGGACTGGAGCGATAGCACAGTGGGTAGGGCATTTGCCTTGCACAAAGCCAACATGACCGACCCAAGTTCGATTCCCAGCATCCCATATGGTCCCCTGAGCACCGCCAGGAGTAATTCCTGAGGGCATGAGCCAGGAGTAACCCCTGAGCAAAAAAAAATGTTCAGCTTCAGGGTCTTTGAAGGCTAAATTAAATTCCACCTCCTCTCAGCTGTTGTCGACTTTGAACAAGTCATTACCCATTCTGGGTCTTCTTAATTTGGAAAAATGAGGACACGGAGGGGTTGAGGGTGTGGCTTAGTGGGTACAGCACTTGTCTTACATGCGTGAGGCCTGGGGTTTGATTCCCAGCTCCACTCCCACAACAAAAGGAGAAAGAAAACGAAAATGAGGCCACTTTTCCCAAGCAAAAGAATGACTGTGGGGAGTGACAGGAATAGTGTAGGGTTAGCTTAACGTAACAAAAGAGTAATAACAGCAGGTGTTCAAAGTGAACATTTATGTGGCCCTTAACCATGTTTTGAGCACTTTTCTGTGATTTATGTATAGTAGCTATTTCAGTCAGTTGTCAGTCCCCACTGTAGGGGTCATTGAAACATAGTAGGAACTTAACTTGTATTTCTTTTCTGCTGGCTCTTGCCTATTCTGTTATCAAGGAGAACTGTCCCTTGATTAAAATCTTTGCCTCAGGATCAGGGCCATAGCGCTGTGGGTAGGGCACTTGCTTTGCACTCAGCCTCCAGGTGTGATCCCTGACTGCAGGGCCAGGAGTAAGCCCTGAACACTGCTAGATGCTCAAAATAAGTAAAATAAAAAACCCAAATAAAATAATTAAAAATATTGCCCCCCCCCCCCCCCCCCCCCCCCCCCGCTTTCAGGAGGGAGAAAGGAAAGTATGATGAGGGCCCTGGTCTTTTTGGTTGGGAGAAGTAAAAATTACTTTGGCAAAGTTGTGGGTATGCTAAGTCTGGAACCAGAAAAGCACTAACCAGAAGAAATGAGGGAGGGCAGAGTTAGTTGGGCTTCTAGCGAGAACAGACATACCGTTTTGCCTCAGGCAAATCCTGACAGCTCGCTTTCTGTTGCCTTGCTTTGCTTTTTTCTCCCTGGCTCTTTTCAGTAGCCCCTGTACTGAACTTTCTGTGTTTGGGGGTTGGGGGATATTGTGTGGAGAGCATATGCACTCTGGATTTCCCTCCAGCAGCCCCGACTCTGGATTCCCCTCCAGCTTCCGTTCATCTGTTCTGACACATACTTTTTTTTTATTCTTTTTTTTTTTTGGTCACACCCAACATTGCACAAGGGTTACTCCTGGCTCATGCACTCAGGAATTACTGCTGGTGGTGCTCGGAGGACCATATAGGATGCTGGGAATCAAATCCAGGTTGGCTTCATGCAAGGCAAACTCCCTACCCACTGTGCTATCACTCCAGTCTCCTGACATATACTTCTAAAGCTCTAGGATGGGCTATGCGCCCATGTAAATGGCTGCAAAAGTTCCAACCTCACAGAGCTTGTGAGTAAATTGATTTGTGATCTGAAATTATATTAAGGAACCATGAAATGTGGTTAAGAGTCACCGAAAGGAGGGCCTGTCAGCAAAAGTCTCCTTAGCTGAGCCCAGGATGATGAGAGGAAGTAGATGGTAGTCATTAGTCAGTAGTCAGTGGTAGATGTGGGAGAGGGCCCTCTAGACCAAGAGGTCGGAAGTAGGAGGATCTCGAGTTGGAAATGAAGTGATGGTGTCCCCAGCTAGAGTGCCCAAGGACAGAGGGTGGGGGTGCAGTGGGTTTGAGCATCAGGAAAGAGAATTGGGATGAGGCCACAGAGGTGGACAGGTCCCTTGCAAGCCCCTGGAATTTGATTTCAAGTGTGATAAGAAGCCAGAGGTAGTTTTGTTTGTTTGCTTGCTTTTTGGGTCATACCCAGCCATGCACAGGGGTTATTCCTGGCTTTGCACTCAGGAATTACTCCTGTCGGTGCTTGGGGGGGACCATATAGGATTCTGGGAATCGAACCCGGGTTGACCGCGTGCAAGGCAAACACCCTACCCTCTGTACTATTGCTGCAGCCCCGCCAGAGGTAGTTTTGAGTAAGGGAATGACAGGATTTGGTTTACTTTTTTGGGTTTTTTTGTTTGTTTTGTGGCCATACCTGTGATACTCAGGGATTATTCCTGGTGGGCTCTGAGGACCATGTGGGGTGCTGGGGATTGAACCACAGTTGGCTGCTTGCAAGGCAAGCTTATTATCCGCTGTTATATCTCTCAGGCCCTCCATTTACTTTTTTAAAAATTTTATTCTGTATGTTGTGTGGATAGTAAATATGGAAGTGGGCAAGAAAGGAAGCAGAGAAGGCTCTTTTAGTAGTGTAGGTGAGAAATGAGTAGTTCAGAGCAAAGTGGAAGAGGCGAAGGTAATACTCAGAAATAAGATGGATTTTTTTTTTCTTTTTGGGTCACACCCAGCAATGTACAGGGGTTACTCCTGGCTCTGCACTCAGGAATTACTCCTGGCCGTGTTCAGAGGACCATATGGGATGCTGGGGATCTAACCCGGGTTGGCCGCGTGCAAGGCAAATGCCCTACCCACTGTGTTATCGCTCCAGCCCCAAGATGGATTTTCAAGGGAGGGAGAATCAGATGTCAGATGGATTGTACTTAGAACATAGGTAAGGTAAAGGTAAAGGCCCTCCCGTTGATCGTCGATTTGCTCGAGCGGGCCCAGTAACGTCTCCATTGGAGACTTTGTTGTTACTGTGTCTGGCATATCGAATACTCTCGGTAGCTTGCCGGGCTCTCCGAGAGGGGCGGAGGAATCGAACTCGGGTCGGCCATGTTGGCCGCTTGTAAGGCGAACGCCCTACCCGCTGTGCTATCGCTCCAGCCCACTTAGAACATAAAACAAAGCGAATTCTGCTAGGGGTAGTTCAACTCGGTGGTTGAGTGCATGCTTCATGTATATGAGACAGAATTCAAGCCTGACTATATACATGCACACACAAACAAGAAAAGAAAGTGAGGAGGAAGATCTTCTAAGGTTTTTTTTGGTGGTGGTGTTGGTGGTAGGACACATCCAGGGGTGCTCAAGGCTTACTTCTGGCTCTGTTGTCAGGGATCACTCCTGGCGGTGCTCGGGGTCCATGTGGAGTGTCAGGGAAAGCTGTGTACAAGGCAAATGCCTTACGTGCTGGATGATTGTTCTGGCCTGGACTCCTAGGTTTTTATACCAAGCAACCAAATACTGAGATAGGAGGATTAAGAGAGTTTGGAAGGGCATTCAAAATTACATTTGTTTGGAAGGGCATTTGGGGAGGGGAGTCAAAATTTGATTTGATTCTCTTTGTTTTTATTTATTATTTATTTTTGGTTATAAGGGACTGGGGTGAATGGGAATAGGAGGTTAGTGGTTTTGTTACTTTTTTGGTCAGAGAGCACATCATTGGTGATACTCAGGTACTGTTCCCAGTGAGGTGCTTAGGGACTTCTCCAGGTGATGCTGGTACTGGGGGACCACCAGGTATGATCCCAGAACACAAGCCCTAAGCACTGCTGGGGGTGGCCCAAAGAAAATAAACAGGAGGCAGAGCAACAGTATAGCAGGCAAAGTGTTTGCCTTGCACGTGACTAACCTGGATTTAATTCCCAGCATCCCATATGGATTCCTTGAACCTGCCAGGAGCGATCGCTGAGCACAGCACCAGAAATGTGGAGGATGTCATGTGTTGCTGGAGATTGAACTTGGTCACCCACATGCAAAGTGTGCACTTCAGCCCTTTGAGCTATCTCCCCAGCTCTAGGGTGTTATATGCGACCAAGGATTGAACCCAGGACCTCACACATGCAAGGCATGCACTCTACCCCTGTGTTCCATTTCTGGCCCATGATACTTGTTTCAAGGTCATAACTGGTAGTGTTCAGAGGCTGCTCCTGGGGCAGTGCTCAGAGGAACATGCAATGCTGGGGGTCGAAATTAAGGCTCTGACATGCAAAACATGTGTTCCAGCTCTTTGAACTATCTTTCTGACCCTAATAGACTCTTTAAAAATCCAAAATGGTAGAAAAAGAAAACAAAAAAAGAGAGGAAAAAAGGAGAGAGAAAAAAAAGAAAACATCTTAAATGGAGAAGTTGACATTTGGAATAGCAGAAAGGACCGGAGACATGAATTTGAGAGAGGTTTAAATTTGGGGGCCGTTCATGGTTATACATGTTCTTTATCGCCACAGAATTGGATGAGAGAAGTAGGAGGGAAGATGGGTGGGGAAGAGGAAACCTAGCCGATATTTGTTTATTTTCTCTTATTTTTCATTAATGTGTAAATTTTTATTTTGTTATTCTTATTTTGGGCCATGTCCAGCAGTGCTCAGGGCTTATTTCTGGCACTTTGCTTAGCGGTCACTCCTGGCAGGTTCAAGAGATCCATGTGGGATGCAGGGAATTAAACCCAGGTTAGTCACGTGCAAGGCAAACACTTGGCCTGCTATACTGTTGCTCAGCCTCCTGTTTATTTTTTCTTTGGGCCACACCCAGCAGTACTTAGGGCTTACTCCTGACTCTGTTCTGGGATCATACCTGGTGGTCCTCTGGGGACTATATGTGGTGCTGGGAATTGAACTGGGTTGGCCATGAACAAGGCAAGTGACTTCCCCACTCACCCTCAAACCAATATTTAAAGGTTGGGCAAAGGGTAGGTGACCTTGAGAGTATCCTAGAAATCAAATGAAAGGATCATCAGGACAGGAAAGGCAAGGTCTGCTAAGTCAAATGTTAGGTCAAGTGAGTTAGAACAGGGACTTGCTGAGCTGGAGTGGGGCCGTGAAGTGGAGAGAAAGCCAGACTGGATTAGACTGTCAACCAACCAATCACAACAATGGCAGCCCTCATGTAGTGTCTGATGGGAAAGGAACCAGATACAAAAGTTTCCATTTGTGTAAACTTTATGTTCCATTATGTTGTTTTGGGGCCATACCCATAAGTGCTCAGGGCTTACTCCTGGCTCTGTACTCAGGGATCACTACTGGTGTGCTCTGTGGATCATATAAGATGTCGGAGATTGAACCCTGTTCAGCTGCGTGCAAGGCAAATGTCCTACCCACTGTACTGTTGTTCTGGCCCCAGTTTGTGTAAATTTTAAGAGCTGCAAAATTGGGGCGAGTGATAGTACAACGCGTAGAGTGCTGTCTTAGCACTTGGCCAGCCCAGGTTTGATGCTCAGCATCCCACATGGTCCCCCCAGTTAATGCCAGGAGTAAATCCAGAGTGCAGAGCCAGGGAAACCCCTGAGCATTGCTGAGTGTGACCCCAAAACAAAACTATCAAAAAAAAAAAGCTGCAGAGTTGACTTGCACTTTCGAGGTTACTCAGGTTCTGAAGACTGATAGGAGTAGCATTCTTTTGCAACTCAGGATTAGGTTCACATGTCCAGAAATCACGAAGGGACAAATGGGGTCTCTGAAGATGTGTGTCACACTGTAGGCTCAGAGTGGGCAATATGCAGGGCAAGTGCTCTCCTACTGAGCTGTATCTCCACCTCTTGGGCACATTTTATATTTTTTACATGCTTTTTATAGGGTCCACCTCGAGCAGTACTTGGCAGGGGGTCAGGGTCCACTCAAGATACTTAGCACATGGGGCTGGAGAGATAGTACAGTGGCTCAGGTGCTTACCATACACATTCCCACCTGTATTCGATCCCCAGCGTCCCATATGGTCCCCTGAGCCCTCAAGAAATGATTGCTGAGTGCAGACCCTGGAGTAAGCCCTGATGAGTTCTGCTTGGGTGTTGCCACCAAACAAACTCAGCACATGGTACAGATCTGATGGTTTAGTGCTCATCTGGCCCTACATTGCTCAGGGTCAGAGGTGCTTGGGGGCCATCAGGATTATACCCAGTAGCCGTGCCAGGAATGATCTCTGAGCGCAGAGCCAGGGGAAACCCCTGAGTACTGCTGGATGAGGCAAAAATCGAGGTAATAGTGTCTTATAAGAAGGCAAATGTCAGTCTTAGGGGTGCAGTGTTGCCACATTATGCCTACCACCAGAGTGCCAATATCTTTCCTCCATTGTCTCTAGAACCCTTCCCAGCCTCTCCTCCATGCCTTAGATAATCTCAGTTTTGTAGTCAGGTATTGTTTGTGTGTGTGGTGCTGGCTATTGAACCAGGGTCTCATATCAGAGGCATGTGCACTGCTGCTGAGCTACATTTCTGAAGATACCAGAGTTCAGATGGTTCTTTTGTTGTTTTGTTTTTGGGTCACATCCAGTGGTGCTCAGGGCTTTCTCCTGGCTCTGTGCTAAGGGAAATTATTTCTGGCGTGCTTCCGGGCCTATATGTGATACTGGGGACTGAACCAGGATTTGCCGCGTGCAAGGAAGAGTGCCCTACCTGTTGTACTATCTCTGGCCTCATAGAGGTTTGTTTTCATTGGCTTTGTTATCTTCTGTTTTGTTTTGGTGGGGCTACACCCAGCGGTGCTCAGGGTCTCAGAGGCATGTGCACTGCTGCTGAGCTACATTTCTGAAGATAGCAGTTTAGTCGGTTTTTTTGTTTTGTTTTAGGGCCACATCCAGTGGCCTGGCTCTGCGCAGGGAAATCACTCCTGGTGACTTAGATGGTTTGGTGGAGATCTCTGCTTAGTGATCACGCTTGGTATAGTGTTCAGGAGACCATATGAGGTATCAGAGATCAGACCTGGGTCAGCCACATGCAAGGCAAGTGCTGTCTCTGTTGTACTATCTTGCTGACCCCTTGCTTTGTTTTTCACATGCCTCAAATGAGGAAGATCATTTGTCTTTCTCTTGGTTTATTTCATTTAACAAGACACTGTAGTTTTTGCTATCTATACCATAGCAAAATACAAGACTTCATCCTATATGATTTGTGTATGCAGTAACTAATTTATCTTCTCAGCTGTCACTGGGCGCTTGGTTCTAGACCCATTTAAAGAGTTTCCCCTGGGGTTCAAGATATATATATATATATATATATATATGGTAAGGTGCTTGCCTTTCATGTGGCTAACCCAGTTAGAGCCCAACACCACATGTTCCCTGAGCACTGCTAGGAGTGATCCCCATCGCAGAGCCAGTATCCCTAGCACCTGTCGGTTCCCCCCCCCCGCACCCCTCCCCAGCTTCACTTTAAAGGAAACAGGGAAATGGAACTGGTGGGTTGAAAGAGGGTTGTTTCCTCTTTCCCTCCTCTTGAAGCTCTTACAGGTGTTGTAAATGGAGCATGATCTTTCCCATCGTTTCCCCAGCTTCAAGTCAGGTCTCCAGGAGCAGGCCCTGTATAGGCAGAGTAGCCTTTCACAGGTGCAGGTGTTGCCAGATGTGTAGTATGGTGAGGAGAGTTCAGGGTCTGTCGAGGTGACTGGCAGAGTGGGATCGTGGAATCTCAGCGGGGTAAGAAGCAAAGTGAGGACCTGGCGGGTGTTGAGCCGTGTACCTGGCCATGATAGAAGCAGGGCCAAGGAGTGATGCAGTGGAGGAACTAGACTAAATGAGGTGCAGAGAGGGGTATCAGGGAAGAAACTGCAGTGTTTGCAGTTGAGACTTTGGAGGTATGAAATGTCAGGTTCAGGATATGGCCACGGGAGCGGGTGGCTGAGGGGTGAGGAGATGGCCATTGGAAGGGAGATTTCAGTGCTGAGACAAGACCCATGCAGATACTGGCTGTCACAATGCAGGTGTTGGGCACGAGTCCCACAGCTGCCAGCCTTCTCCTTGGTGGAGTTGTCGTTCTTTTGAGGTATGTGTTTTAGTTGCTTTGGGATTTTAGTTTGCTGCACTCCCAGAACCATGCAGTTGTATTTGTGGCTCTTTTTTCAAATTCATTTTTCACTTTACTCCTGACCACTCTGAGATTGAAGTAGCTGCATTGCAAATAAGGGAAGAGCTCAGAAAGTGAAGGAAGTTTGGGAGTCAGAAAGATGGCACAGAGGGTAAGGCAGCTGACCTGGGTTCAATGCCTGGCACCCTATATAGTTCCCTGTGCACTTCCGGAAATGATCCCTGAGCAAGAACCGGGAATAAGCCTTTCGTACAGCTGGGTGTGACCCCAAAACCAAAAAAGTTAAGGAAACTGACTGGAGAAAAAGCACTGTGGTTAAGGTGCTTGTCTTGATTTGCCTTGATTTGTGTTGTTTCATCCCTGGTACCATATATGGTCCTCAAGCACTGCTGAGTGTGGAATAAATCCCCCTCAAAATAGATAAAAAGTTAAAGAAGTTGCCCCGAGCTCTCAAAACCTGTAAGTGGCCAGTGCAGTCCTTGATTTGTCGCTTGCAAGTTCAAAATGCTCTCTCTGTTTCTGAGCGTTGCCTCCGTTTCATCTGTAGCTGTCGTACTGAATCCTCCTTGTGGCTGCATGAGAATATGTCAGCCTCCGCTTGTCTTCTCAGGTTTCCCGAATGTGGGGAAGTCCTCGCTCATCAATGGGCTGGTGGGCCGGAAGGTCGTGAGCGTCTCCAGAACACCGGGCCACACTCGGTACTTTCAGACCTACTTCCTGACCCCCTCCGTGAAGCTGTGTGACTGCCCTGGCCTCATATTCCCCTCCCTTCTGCCCAGGCAGCTACAGGTATGAGGGCAAAGGGAGCAAGGAGGGCGGGAGGCCGGGATGGAGGAGGTTGCTGAGCAGCCTGGTTCCTGCAGGTTCTGGCGGGGATCTACCCCATCGCCCAGATCCAGGAGCCGTACACTGCCGTGGGCTACCTGGCCTCCCGAGTCCCTGTGCAGGTCCTGCTCCACCTGCGCCACCCGGAGGCTGAGGACCCCTCAGCCGAACACCCCTGGTGTGCCTGGGACATCTGTGAAGGTAGGCGCCCCGTGCTGGTCTTCTCCCTCTCCTTCCTGCTGCCCCGTCCCTCCTCTTCTCTCCCTTCCCCTCCTTCTCCATTCCTCTCCTGCCACAGTGAAATAACTGCCTCTCCCCTCCGCCCCTCACCCCTCGACTTCTGATTTGTGGGCGACTTTGGGAGGCCTGTTGTGGGAATGGGATGATAGCAATTAGTGTGGTTAACTGATCCGTCCTGCTTCTCTCCCTCCAGCCTGGGCAGAGAAGCGTGGTTATAAGACAGCCAAGGCAGCCCGGAACGACGTGTACAGAGCAGCCAACAGCCTCCTGCGGCTGGCGCTGGACGGCCGTCTCAGCCTGTGTTTCCACCCCCCGGGCTACAGTGAGCAGAAAGGTGAGACCCTGCTTTATTGTGGGCAAAAGGGTTTTGTGACTTGGCAGAGTGAGGGCAAATGTGGTTCCTGCCTCTGCTGGCCAACTGTGTCTCCGAGTCAGATTCCTCATTGGACTTCGGGACCAGAGAATAGCTCTGGGGACTGAGTGCATGATTTGCATGCAGGAGGCAGAGATTGACCCCTGGCACTGCATGGTCCCCTATCACCCTTTGAGTGATGGCTGAGTAGAGCTGGGAGTAGCTCCTCAGCACCACTGAGTGTGGCCAAAAGAAAAAAAGATTGGAGGGTCAGAGAGATAGTACAGTGAATGAGGCATCTGCCTTACACATGATGACCTGGTTTAGATCCTCAACACTGGTTCCCCCTTTACGAGCTCTGCCAGGAGTAATTCCCCAGAGAGAGCCAGGATCAAAGACTGAGCGCTGCTGGGTGTGGCCCCAAAACAAAAACAAAATATTGCAGTTAGAGGTGCAGAACTTGTATTCAGAGTCTAGTGTTTGGGAGAGTGAGGGTGAATGACTGATCAAATGAACGAGTGAATGAGTGTCAGCTTGCCCATTGTTCTCTGGCTTTAGGTCTCTACCCAGAACTCACCACCATTCCTGTTTTCGCTCTCCAGGCACCTGGGAGTCCCATCCGGAGACCATGGAGCTGGTGACTTCCCAGGGCAGGGCCAGGCCTGCAGGTGATGAGGAAGAGGAGGAAGAGGAAGAGCTGAGTAGCTCCTGTGAGGAGGAGGGAGAGGAGGATCGTGATGCAGACGAGGAAGGAGAAGGGGACGAGGACACCCCCACCTCAGCTCCAGGTTCCAGCCTGACTGCCCGAAACCCTTATGCCCTGCTGGGTGAGGATGAGTGCTGAGTCCTGCCCTCTGCCATCGTCCCAGTCACTCTCTCTGCTTTGGACTGACCTCTGGGGTATCTCCCCTTTGCCACCCCAATTGTGAATAAAGATTGTCTGCTTTGTAGCCCCTTCCCCAGATGGACTGAGATGAGAGCGGCTGCTTCAGGCTTATATTTGTGGGGAGACTTTTCTCCTCTCCTCCCCTTTTCAGTCATTCTCTTTGCCAGAGAGAGTTGTCCTAGGGGTTCGGAGGCCCTGAAACCTGCTTCCTCTGCTCACTCTCCTGCTTGCACCTTAGGAGTCATTCTCAACCTCTGGCTGCGGAGGTCGCTTCCCGCAAAGATCTCTTCCGAAGGTCCCTGCTGGGATGCTAGAGTGATTCAGGGGTCAGTGGCAGTGTCGGGTGCAGTTGGGTGGTACTTTCTGTTTGCTCTTATTTAAGAGAACAGATTTCCAGAGGGGTTCTATTTTTTATTTTATTTTTTCTAGAAAGGGGGCAGTAGACCAAAGTAAGTTTGCTAAACTCTTGTCAGGTCCTCTGATGGGAACAGCAGCCCTCTGCGCCCCCTGCTGATAGCCTGGGTTACACCAGGAATTTGAGAAAGAACCAGTAAGAGTGTGACAAATTGATGTCTCCAAGAAAGCTTCTTAGAGGATTTATTCAAGTTGAAAATGTTTGTTGAGTATCTACTGTTTGGCTAACCTTGCTAAGCACTTACCGTATAAATATGTACAAACAGGGCTGGCTGAATCTTTCAGCCTGGCCTGATTAAGGCCCCATTCTCAGGCACCCAGGTTTTTGGGTTAAGTGGGTATGTAATGTCCTCAAAATCCTTGGGGCTTTTACAATATAATTCTAGAACTTCCTGTCAATAGAATATTTAGTTAAGACTAAATGCTTGTGAAAATGTTGATTAAAGGCTAGTAGAGTCTTAATTATCGGCGAATAACTAGTGCGCATATTGCTTGCAGCAATCCAGCCCCTTAAGTACATTGTTCAAGTTTTTGGGTTTTATTTTGTATTTTTTGGGCCACACCCGGTAGTGTTCAGGACTTATTCCTGGGTCTGCACTCAGGAATCTCTCCTGGCGAAGCTCAGAGGACCATATGGGATGCCAGGGACCAAACCTGTGTCGACTGTGTGCAAGGCAAGCACCTTACTAACTATACTATCACTCCGGCCCCCTCAATTTTATTTTTCATTTTCTTGGTAACCTTACCAGGCATTTCTTGGGGGTCACACCCAGCTCTGTGCTCAGGGCCCAGGGTGGGACTTAGGGGACCGTATGTGGTGAAAGGACTTGAACCAGTGTTATGGTTGTATCTGCATGCTACGCAAGTACATTAACCTTTATACTGTCTCTTGAGCTTCAGAATTAGGTTATTTACAAATATACACACTGCATTTCTGAGCCTCAGGATATTGCACAGAATCAGATCCTGAATCCTATTTTCCTTATTCAGAATTGAGTTCCTGTAGGAAGACCTAGCATGTGTGAATCTCAAATTAGATTCCTGGTACCACAAAGCACAACCATGCTCTTTGTACACCATGCTCCCCCGGTGTAGCTCCTATTTATTTTGGGGGGCCATATCTGTCAATGTTCAGGGGTTACTACTGACTTCACTCAGGAATCACTCCTAGCATTGCTTGGGGGACCATATGGGATGCCAGGGACCAAGCCCTGGTCAGCTGCTAGTGAGGCAAGCTTCCTACTGCTGTACTATCTCTCCAGCCTCATGGTGTCACCCTTATTTAAAAAAAAAATAGTGCAGGATCTGAATGTGAATGTGTTTTAGCACCAGTGGGCTCTTGTGAATCAGAATATCTTGGGTGTACTCTACTTCTCCCTTGTCAAGAAAACAGGGAGCTTCGATTCTTAGAGCAAAAGAGGAATTGGGGTCATTTCACTGACTGTCACAGTGTGATTTTTGTTGCACATTAAAACAGTATGGTTTGGGGCCCAGGCAGTGTCTTGGAACCCCAGCAGAGACCTGGGGCCACACAGCCTCAAGCACTTCTAATTTCACTGTCCTCTTGAGGACTTCGGTCCAAAGTCTTACTAATGCTGTTGTGTTACACGGGCTTGGAAGTTATCCACAATGTGCTATGAAAGAAGTCACAGATGAGAAAGATAAAACGAGCAGTCTATTTTCCTGTGTTGGGGGGCAGGCAGGCACCTGACTCAGCTTCTCTGAGGGTCCTGATGTCCTGGGGACTTTGGTGCTTCTGGAAATGGACTAGGGACATTAGAGTCTTTTCGCTTTTAATTTTTAAAAAATTTTAGGCTCCATCTGGCTGTGCTCAGGGCTTACTCCCGCCTCTGCTCAGTGATCACTCCGGTTGAGAGGACTATATCTAGGCCTCCAGCACCTGGATCAAATCCAGGTTAGCTGCATGTGTTGCAAGCTTCTTTTCTGTTGTACAATTTCTGTGGCCCCTGGTTTGGTTTCAAAGTGAAGAAATGGGAGAATCAGGTTTCTGCTTGTGTCCTGCTGCTTCTGTACTATTTCTTTTCACTTGTCTCTATCATCTGTTTTCTCAATGATTTTACAAGGGCCATTTTGGGAGTGTCAGATGGTGATGAGATGAGACCTAAGTTGAAAAGGGGCAATCTCAGTTTTGGACTGCACTGGGCAGTGCTCAGGGACTATTGACTTGGTTATGAAAGTGCATTGCTAGCAGTGAAGGGGGGTGGGTAGGGGCTGGAAGGAGATACCTGACATCGACAGCAGGCTAAGCTGTAAGTTACTCTTAGGCTTTGTGCATTGTTCTATAGGAAATTACCCTGGCAACAAACATCCAGAGAAGGATAAATAATACCCCAACACCAGTGCCTGAGACGGAAACTGACTAAAAGATGCAGGAAACCAGAGGTTTAGTCTTCCTTTTGTGCTAAAAAACCCAGAACCCAGACGTCATATCCCTTTTCCTAGGTCAGGTATGGAGATTCTTGACAGTGGAGATCTGTGGGTTGGGCAATTCTCACAGTCTCTTGATGGGAAAAAAACCAGTGCTAATTCATACTGGGATTGCATATGTCCTTGCATAAGAAGGTCATAATGTGGTAATTGCATAAGAACCTTTGTAAGCTGTTCTTTTCCCAGAACAAGTTCCATGACAAGGTGGCTGTGAGATCTATAGATAAGGTAATCTGGGCCTCTCTATGGTCATCAATACAATCAGCAAAAAAAGGTAAAAGAAACACGTACCAGAGATGCTGAATTCTGTTTTTTTGTTTTGGGGCCACACCCAGTGATGCTCAGGAGTTGCTATTGGCAGTGCTTGAGGGACCATATGAGATGCTGGGGCTTAAAACCAGATGGGCCACGTGCAAGGCAAATGTCCTCCCACTGTGTTATCACTCTTGCCCTGAGATGCTGAATTCTTGGATAAAAAAATTAAATAAGATACAGGTGTTATCCTCAAGGAGTTAAATAGCAAGATATTACTAAATCATTCTATAGCATTCTAAAATACAAAATAATTACATGTATCCACTAAACTCATAATTTAGATAGAAATAAAATTATCCCAAGGATTCATTCATCTGCCACTCATTTATTGAGCAATTCTAGCAGTGCAAGTTGCTGCTAAATGATGATACAGAAATGCTCTTTTGTGAAGCTCAATTTTTATTTATGCAGTGCTAGTGACTAAACTTAAACCTGCATGCAAAAAAAAAATGCTTTACCACATCTTAGGCCTGGAATTCCAATTTATTGAAGGATGGAAACAATACCAAAGTGTATGGAAAGAATTGCCAAAACGGGCCAGAACGATAGTACAGCAGGGGTAGGGTGTTTGCTTTGCACATGACTGATCCAGGATTAACTCAATATCAACATCCCAAATCCCCTGAGCACCACTAGGAGTAATTCCTGAGTGAAAAACCAGGAAGGAGTAAGCCCTGAGCATCACTAGGTGTGACACCGCCCCCCCCCCGCCCCAACACACACACACACACACACACACACACACACACACACACAGAGTGATTGCCGAAATAGTGTGAGGAGTGGCCTGGAGGAATAGCACAATGGTTCAGAGTACCTGCCTTGCAAGTGTATGGTTCTTGAGTTCGAATTCCCAGAACACCACATGTGCGAAGCATAACCCCGGCAGCTCTGCTGTGTATGTTTCTCCAAACAATTTCTGGCCACACCCAACCAGCTGTGTGTCAGAAAGGCTATGGCCCTGGTGGGTGTGTGAGCACTGCTGTACCTCAAAAGAACAGCACAGGAGTTGGAGAGACAGCATAGCGGGTAGGGCATTTGCCTTGCACATGGTTGACCCGGGTTTGATTCCCAGCATCCCACGTGGTCCCCTGAGCACGGCCAGGAGTAATTCCTGAGTGCAGAGCCAGGAGTAACCCCTGTGCATTGCCGGGTGTGACCCAAAGCAAAAAAAAAAAACAGTACAGCCATGACTTGTGGGCTTCGGCAAAGTACAAGCCATGATGAGACTTAAATGTGAATGGTTCTGAGTGGCATGGCCCAGTGTGCAGGCATCACAACCTGATGTGTGAACCTCTGTTGAGCATTGCAGCTAAACCTGTGTATAACACCACCAGGGAAGGGAAGTGGGGGCGGGGGTGAGTGATGTGTGAGAAGTGCTATGAGAAGAGAGGCAGGTCCTGTAGTGGTGTGAATTCAAACAGTGTGGGGACACGATGTGCCAAGAGCCGCCTCCCCAACCAAGGAACAAAGAGATGGGGACAACAGACTGGTGGTAAAAATGTCCCATTTAATGCAGAGCTGTTAGCAGACTTAAAGAACATCAGAAGGGGTTCAAGGTAGAGGACTGCATGTAGGCGTGATTAGTCATTTACAGAGGTAAAGTGTTTTGGCAAGAGGCAATTCTCTTGGGGTTAATTCAAGGAGACACTGTCTCCTAGGGACATCTATATTGCTTTTCTCTTACCCTTTAGTTGTACATATTAAATAAGTTTACTTACTAATACTTGAAGTTATTTGGACAAACACAGTAAGAGATATAGATTCTAAAATTTAGTTTTCTGGACTCCAGAAGTCTTTTATTGTAAATCCCGGACTAGATCCTTAGGCCAGTTCAGCTTGTCCTTCCCCATGGGAATCCTGACTCTTTAAGTCATAACAGCTTGCATCAAAACCATGCATTTATACTTTCTAGACTATCCCATTTGATGCTAGGGTAGCTTTGCCACTCACCCCAGGTCCATCCCAGACCCACGGCAGGATCTCCCTTTTGGGGTGTTAGGAACTACGACAACC